TTATTTTACGCAGTTTTATTTCCCATATTTGATGGGTGTTTTGTAACTGTCATGCAGTCGAGGACGCCAAGATGGCCGTGGCGTGCGGAGCGAACGGGATCTGTGTGTCTAACCATGGCGGGAGGGAACTGGACGGCGTGCCGGCAACTGTACGTGAGGAAAAACATTAGGCTGATACAAAATTCAATTTTGGTAATTGAATCAACTCTAGTTAAATGCAAGGAAGTGGAAATATGTGCCAAAATATAGCGCGTGTGATCAGAAGCTGGAAACACGGCTGTCAGCCATGTTTTTTTTTTACATTCTGGTATTTTGTGGTAGTGTCACAAACTGAATGTGCCTCGTGTGTGCTGTTTGTTTTTGTGCTAAACATTAATGTCAGAAATGTGAGAAAATTGCATAGATATGATCTTACCTACAGCTTACGATCAGTCAATCTGGTCTTCTTCAATAGACTGACCCAGTGAGATGTCGTTTACCAGATACCGATGACCCAGTATTGACGTCCCGCTTTAGAGAAGCCACGTGACACAAGTCTCACAGTGTCAGTCTATTTATCATATTTTGAAGAAGAACGGAGTGACTGGTCGAGAGCTCTTGTTGAGAGCAATTCTTTGTGTTGGAAGAAATGTTTTAACTTGAAACATGTCTACAGATTGACGTTCTACCGGGCATCGTCCGTGCGGTTGGCGGTAAGGCGGAGGTTTACCTGGACGGAGGTGTCCGGACTGGGACGGACGTGCTGAAGGCCTTGGCGCTGGGAGCCAGGTGTGTTTTCATCGGCAGACCCGCACTCTGGGGACTGGCACACAACGTAAGTAGTGGTCACCGTTAGTCAGAAGTTACTGTAAACGGCATGAGTATCAGGTGTGGACGTGGACGGAGGTGTCCGGACTGGGACGGACGTGCTGAAGGCCTTAGCGCTGGGAGCCAGATGTGTGTTCATCGGCAGGCCCGTACTCTGTGGACTGGCACACAACGTAAGTCGTGTTCACCGTTAGTCAGTAGTTACTGTAAACGGCATGAGCATCAGGAGTGGACGGAGGTGTCCGGCCTGGGATGGACGTGCTGAAGGCTTTGGCGCTGGGAGCCAGGTGTGTGTTCATCGGCAGGCCCGCACTCTGGGGACTGGCACACAACGTAAGTAGTGTTCACCGTTAGTCAGTAGTTACTATAATAAACGGTATGTGTATCAAGCGTGGACAGAAGTGTTCGGACTGGGATGGACGTGCTGAAGGCCTTGGTGCTGTCCCTGTCTCTCTTTCTCTGTCTCTGTCTCTTTCAGAGAAGGTAAACAGCATGGGTAGAAATACAGGTAGAATAACAAAGATGTCAGAATATGGACAGGGGCCAGTAAGGGAAAGTCGACAATGGATTGCATATTTCCCAGAGGCTTTGAATTCTCGATTTCTTTTTTCAGTGTTAAATTCCTTTCTTCTTAATAGGGTGCAGAAGGAGTCCAACAGGTTCTACAGATTCTGAGAGATGAACTCAGTTTGGCCATGGCCAGGGCAGGTATGTACGAATGGCTATGGCAGATATGTGTGGATAGTCAGTCCGTACCAGAAGGCCAAATATGACTGGTCCATATGTACTTCACACATGTCGTATCAATGTCTGTTTGATTTTCACTCATTCCTTTTTTATTTCATCTTAATGAATTACTATATATTATCTCATCACTACTTTTTGACGCAGTTTTAGAACATGTTTATTATTTCATGTTTCCAGGCTGCGCCAAGATATCCGACATCCAGCCATCTCTTGTCGTGCACCAGTCGTATTACGGCGTACCAACCCGCAGAGCACTACCGATGTCTAAATATTGAGCCACAAGACCAAATCACACTCACATATATGTGGAGGCAGTATATATCTATGAAGTGTAACTATTATATTGCAATTGCAAAGCTGATCACTTACTCCCACCCGGCACTTGATGGGTCACCGTCAGGTTTGACCTCCCTATTAATCATATGTCAAAATCAAATTCCACCCACCACGCAACCAAAGAAATTATACAAACAGACACACACACTCACTACCAAAAGCAACACTTCTGTACCCAGATAAATGGGATTGTGAATTTCTGTTTCTGTACCTGTATGGAATTGGTGTAGGAGCCTTGGAAGATTGGCCCCTTAAGGGGCTTAAGGGCATCCCAATTAACTGAAACTGAGAATAATAACCTTAAACGTAAAAACGAAAATACCATTGGAAAGAAAATGACGTCACAAACCCTTGGCGGTTGCCATCTCCGCGTCAGGATGAGCCAATCGCTGCATGGCTGTTGGCGCAATTGCTACCGGGAAATCTAACATCTGACCCAGAACGGTTACTGTGGTGTCCCGGATGAACACGTCACGGAGCTTACGTAGGGATGAGACGGTACCTAAAAAAACCCTTTTATAAAAGTTTAAAGTTAATTTGCAAATTCATGCCCAAGGCTAATTGCAATACGACACAATATATAGAGTATACAGGCAGTGCAAGGTCTGTTGTATAACCACCTTTTGTTTTTTTCTTGAACATTTTTACTGTGTTCTTGCCAGAGGTCTGATCAATTTTAATTAAAAGTTTAAACCTTCTTGATCTGATTCATGTTGAATACTTTTTGACTTTGAATGTAAACGATTGAATTCTATCTGTTATCAATTCATTTTAGAATTAATACGACAAAAATTAAGGTTTTAGTCGTGAGGGATAAAACAAATCAACGTATCACGATGTATATTAACCGACAATAGTATATACATCAGCCCTCGCTCCGACGGTCCATCTTCAACGAACTTGAAATTTCCTCTGGCGAAAGCTGTGTGCTTAGCTCTTCCTCATTATACAAGAACATGTATTTTCAAGAGTATTTTCCTTCAATGGCGGGTGACTGCCGTCAATCGCTGTTACACACTCTCGATGCCAGGGCATGTGGTCACATGGAAGAAAGGAATGTACCCTTTCTCAGATAGACTTCGGAAGTAATGGTATTCACAATATATTGTCTCCGCTTAACCTTTGAAAGCGTCCAAATTGTCCTGATAAGTCTGTCCTACGCCCCTCCGTCTGCTGAAGAAGGCCAGGCAAAGTCAGAAAGTTTTTTGCGTGCTTCCTTCTCAAAGTCCAAGACACATACCCCCGGTTACCTATTGCTGGAGGTAATATCAAGGACATTATACAGATGTCCTTTGTCATATAATGGCTTCCCCTACTTATCATGTTGATTTGATTGTATGAATGACATCCGCGAGCTCATAAATTTTCGTCTGTTTAAAAAAGTTTTCGACCGTACAAAGCAGCTGCCAAATGAACAGATATTTATATGCCGTAAATGAATGCCGGAAAGAAATATTGAAATTTGGAAAAAGTTATGTGATTTTGCCAGTAGGCATACTGGCACACTGCTGTACAAGACTCAGTATATGGGCTCGGAAGCTGGGCATGGGTCTTGTTCAGTGGGCTATCAATGAACTTCATCAAAATTTGTAAAGCCTTGGACTCAAACAACGAAGTTAGAACTGTTTATTTGGATTTTTCCAAAGCATTTGATAAAGTTTGGCACAGAGGTTTAATATTTAAATTACAACGAAACGGGGTGGAGGGCCCAATTCTCAATTGGTTTCAGAGTTATTTATTTGGTAGAAGTCAACGTGTTTTAATTGATGGGCAATGTTCAAACTGGTGTGAAATAGGAGCGGGCGTTCCACAAGGATCCGTCTTAGGACCCCTTTTATTTCTTATTTATATCAATGATATGGTAGATGGACTCACAACACACCCTTTTCTTTTCGCGGATGACAGCTCATTGCTTGATATTGTCGAAAGTCCTGCCTTATCAGCAGCTAGGCTTAACTCTGATCTTTCCAAAATTATGTCGTGGACGAATTTTTGGCTAATGGAATTGAATCCTTCTAAAACTGTTGAAATATGCTTTTCTAAGAAAGTAATTCCTCCTCTTCACCCTCCTCTTCTTCTTGGCAATGAAGTTATCAAGAGAGTGAAATGCCATAAACATATTGGAATCCATCTATCATTTAATATGTCGTGAAACTCTCATATATTACAGCTGTTAGCTAACGCATACAAAAAAAGTTTTAATCTTTAACAAACTAAAATTTAAGTTGTCTCGTAAGGTTCTAGAAATAATCTATAAATCTTAGATTCGGCCTGTATTAGAATATGGGGATGTTGTATGGCACAGCTGCACTACTGCTGACTCACATCAGATTGAACGTTTACAACATGAATGTTCACTTACTGTATCGGGTGCGATTAGAGGGTCCTCGTATAAATCTATTCTTAATGAACTAGGGTGGGAAAAATTGTCCGACCGCCGACATATTCATTCTCTCATTCTTTTCTACAAAATTGTTCACGGACACACCCGCCCATATCTGAGGACCCTGTTACCACCCTTAGTGTCTGATTTCACTCAATATAATCTTCGTAACAAACAAAACATTCAGATACCAATATGTATAACAAATCGCTTTAAAAACTCCTTTATTCCCTATGCCACTCACCATTGGACAATCTGACTCTAGCAGATCGCTCGCTGAGCCTCCCCTTGTTTAGGAAAAAATTGATTAAAACTGTACGCCCCTCCCCCATTACTTATCTTAGTTCCGGTCCCCGTTACTCCTGCACTTTACTTACACGTTTTCGGCTCGGTACACACAGCCTAAACCAAAGCTTATACTCTCGTAATTTAGTTTCAAGTCCAGCTTGTTCCTGTGGTCACCCATGTGAAAATATTTGTCACTTTTTGTTACACTGCCCTAACTACATTCAACAATGAAATATCCTTTTTGACAACTTGATAACACTGATTGGCTCTACTACTTTGGATAATCTTTCTGATGATACTCTGCTACATTTTCTTTTAAATGGCTCTTCTTCTTTCTCAACAACGTACAATATACAATTACTACAGCATGTCCAGGAATTTTTGTTGGAATCTCACCGTTTTTTGTAACATAGTTGATTAATTAATTCCGTTAGCAATTTTATATATCTGTTTCACCTGTCCATTGATTCATCATAGTATTCGATTTCAATGTTATCTGTGCTTTGCTTGTTGTATGTATTATGTATTGTCTGGTGGCGACACGAATATAAGTGTATCTTGAGTGTGTCGCCACCATGTCTTGTTATTATATGTTTCAATAAAAAAAAAAACTTCCGACGTTAAGGAACATGATACCCCCCCCCCCTCCTCGGTGTATCATTTCAACCTATCTATCTATTAGTAGAAGGACTCTAAAGGGTTTGTGTGTGACCCGGAAGTACAACATGGCAACCTTGACAATCAAGTCTCTAACAGGAACTATCGGAAGCCCGTCATCACGTACTCACGAAGCCGCCCGATTCACGGTAACTCCGAGTTAGTGTCCTGCGTAGCCTGGTTACTAAACCTATTATAGCTCCCGAGTCCTACAGCCTCTCCGCAAATAGCGGTAACCAGGCTAGGTCCTGCGAAGTCAAGACCACACAAGATTGCGATGTCCCGGGGAAGGCCTCCCCTCCCCACCCTCGTAGACATTGAGCAGTCTGCGCGCGAGAAGTTGTCTGATCGTGCCTGGGGATACTACAGTCGTCCTGCGGATGGACAAACGTACCGGGATAACATTGAGGCCTTCGAACGGTAAGCTGGTCGTTCGTTGTGCAACTAGTTCACCGGTTTATGATTAGAATCAGTGGGAGGGTCAAGAGTCACAGTCGGGTCACGTATCACGACTTATTTTTGAAATAATTTTTTTCCTGGGCAACTTTTGCTCAGAAAGGCACAGTTTTCTGGTAAGGAGGACAGAAGAATGTGTATTTTTCAAATTTGCCCGAAACGAAATAACCCAGGCGAAGGATTCTGGGGAGGGACCAGTTAATGCGCAGAAAGGGCACTTTGTAAGATTTATTAGTTGACATATTTTTGAAATAATCATTTGTCCTGTGCAAATTTTGCTCAGAAAGGCTCAGTTAGTAAGGAGGACAGAAGAATCTACCCAAAATGTGTGACCTTGATTTGGTAGGATTTGCCCTAAGGTAAGCCTGTTATTGACCCCTGAGTACTTCTTCACCGGATGGACTGACCCACTTGGACAGGGGGTGAAATCCAGGTGTCATTTCAATATTTTGGGTGTGGCCCTTTAATATGCCCGAGTTGACTTTTCCCACTACTTGTATGCAAAGAAACCTGACAGCAGCGGATAAGTCAGTTTGTCACAGACTTGAGGTTTGAAATAAGGGAAATGTGTTGCTTGTTTTCGTGGTTACCAAGTGTCTGGCGAGGCATCCAGGGGAGAACCGCGTGACGAGGATGAACTGAACTGTGAACTCAACATAGACTCCATTTGCAGATTCAGTTAGTGGTCCCTCTTTAGTGAGCACATTTTTGTCATCATTCAGCAGTTCTTGACATCATTGCGCAAAAAGGATCAAAATTCAAACGACCCTGCAGATCCCCAACAAACTGCTAGGGGGCCCAAACATCTACATCTATGTAGGTGGTGGGCGCTTGGCCTATTACTAGCCTAAGGGCAAATATTCAGAAGTCGCAGGTTTCGCACTGGGTAACAAGTGCTGAGAAAAAAGACTTTTGTATACTTGCAGGCTCTGTGTGTCAGAGATTCTGTTCGTCTGAGACCCTATATTTTTGTTTGTTTGTTGGTGTCATTTCGACCCCCCTCAGATACCGCCTCATCCCACGGAACCTCCGTGACGTGTCCATCCGGGATACCTCCGTAACGGTACTAGGGACCCGGATGGATATCCCAATAGCCATTGGGCCAACTGCCTTGAACCGATTGGCTCATCCTGACGCGGAATTGGCAACCGCCAAAGGTAGGCTATAATCATAAACTTAATGAAATAGAAATTATGTTCATAGATCAATAGTTGTTTGAAGCCATCACAAAAATTGTCAGTGGATTTTGGCCACCATATACAGATTGAGGGAGAATATACGACGTATAGAGAGATGTCACGGCCGCGGGCTTACTCTCCTGAACTATTCACCCAATTTTTCTACGAAGGCTGCTACCCCTTCAGAAGGCCTGGTAGAGGCTAATGTTTTCCTGATTATGACAGACTGAAAATGTTGATTTCTCTCCAGGCGCGGCCGCCATGAACACAGGGATGGTGCTGAGTTCCTGGGCTAACCACTCCCTAGAGGAGGTGGCTGAAGTAGCTCCTCCCGGGATCCGCTGGTTCTACATGCTGTTCTACAAAGACCGTGGTCGCATGAAGCGCCTGCTGGCTCGGGCAGAACGCGCGGGGTACACCGCCATATTCCTCACAGTGGACCAGCCTCTGCTCCCGTTTCAAATTGACCTAAGGCCTGTGACTTTTCCTGTCTCTATTAGGTAATATACGTTTCATTTCAATTACAACAGAATGTGTTTCCAAAGATATCTTAAGTTATAGCTTATACAAAAAACAATGCACGGGCGGATACCATTCATAAAAGATATAAAATTAAATCCGTGTGGCCCAAGTCGTATTCGATAACAAGAGTTCTCCGTAACAAAGCTGCACTATATAACTTTGTCTTTATGTTTTTCTAGGTTTCCTAACGTTTTAGACGAAGAACCCCCCCATGCTCCAGGTAGTGCGGAGTACCAGGAGAGTATGAGAGCTGCATTGAAGCAACCGGCGACGTGGGACGACGTGCAGTGGATCAGAGACAACACCCGCCTGCCTGTTGTCCTGAAGGGCATTCTGTCAGGTAACAGGAACTAGCATATAACGATGTAGTCACTTAATTACACAATTTAGACTACCATTGTATAATTTAAAATCCTAAACTCAAATGTGATAAATCCCAATAAAGGAAGATATCAGCTGTAAGAAGGGGCCTTCACGGTTGGTTACTCTTATATTTGTATACTTCAATGTTTTCTTCCTCTAAGGAAATGTTTATTTTATTGTATGAGTGGCATCCTCTGGAAACCCCAAAACTGATGCCGGCGTGCGAATAAAAAAGGGCAGGAAAAAAAAATGCCTACATTATGAAATCTACATGGTGATGAAGGCTGAACAAATGCATTTTAATCGCATGTATGACGAAGAAATGACTGGGGGTATTGCTTTTGTTCTCTCTCTCTCTTTCTGTGTGTCCCTGTGTGTGGTAATGAATCTGATTAGTTTCAGTCTTTCCTATACAGCCAGAAAGTCATTAATTACCTCCGGGGGAGGAGACATCCTTCCGCGGAAGGGTTTTGTGAGAGATTTAGATTTTCATGTTCGCAGCTGTTTCTTGCGTTTGGGAGGACGGATTTTTTTTGGGACTCGGTGTATGTTTTACTATTGGGCTGTAGATGATGCACGTTCTTTTGTTTTTATTGTATATGTGTTTTCGGGCGTGAAAATGGTTCCTTTTGGTGGTCCCAGAACACCCCTTTGAGCGTGAAAATGGTCGCGACCGTTGACCTTTGGCGTGTTGAAGAGATTCTCGGTCTGGTCCACGTATATGACCTCTCGCACAGAGGGGTGTCCGGTCTCGATAAATTCTTTGTTTAAAACCCTAGTCCTGCGGCACGCAATAATTGTTGCTGTCAAAATTCAACACCATCAACTATACATAACAAACAACATATAAAAAATCTCAGATTTTACTTCTTTTTTTTTTTGAAACGGACGAAAATTCATGCGCGCGCGGATGTCATCCATATACTAAGTAATCAAATCGCCATGGCCTTACGTGAAGGTAAGGTGGTTTAGTGTGTAGGTGACTGGAATATTGACTTTGAAATATTTAGTTGCTATATAAAGCCGTAAAAACTGCACAAGATGCCTTTAACACTGCAGAAGCGACGCGTAGCGAATAGATTCAGTACTACGCTACCACTAGTACTCTCTATCAGAATACATGTAGTCTCTGACCGCACATTGTGTGAAGAAGTTGGGCAACTTACGAAAACCCTCTCACGGATTTATGATGAACTTTATGCATTGGGAGGCTTGTTACCTTTGCCAAGAAGGTTATGTTTTCAGTAGCGTTTGTCCGTTTGTCCGTCTGTCCGTTTGTGAACAGCATAACTCAAGAAGCTTACTATGCATTGTCATGAAACTTGGTAGGTGGGTAGGTCTTGTTGAGACCTGGAAATGATTAGATTCTGGGCCCTCTGGCGGCTTTTGTTGGTACTGCAGCAGAACTTCCGGTTTTGATATCTCGCGATCTGGACATGCTAGGGTCACAAATTTTGGTTGGTAGATAGCTCTTGGAGTAGGGAAAATAGACATGAGTTTGGGTCCCCTAGCGGCTTGTTCTGAGACTGCAGGAACATTTGTTGAAAAATTTTCAAAGGAGGATAACTCAAGAACCGGTTAACGGGTTGTCGTGATTTTTGGTATGTAGGTAGCTGAAGTGATGCTTGACATAATCAAATGGCAATTATGCACATTAGGAGCTAATTTGCATAATTAATGAGGAAATTCTATAAATCTGCTTACTTTGATAATAAGACTATATGAAACACTGGTGACATGTAATTGAAAACGAGACAAAACATCTGAGGATATAGATTATGTAAATGAAGACCTAATTTGCATAATTAAGTTAATGGAATTGTTATTATTTCATAGTTGTAATTGCTGGGAATTTCATACTTGCCACATTTGGAAGTTAAGTGAAGGTGAACATCAATAAACATAATTTATTCAAATCATGACTCAATTTGCATAATTTATGAGGAAGTGCTATGATAGCCTTTTTGTTAAGATAGGGCTATCATTGAGTGGAGAATATGATCAACTGATATAATCCATGCAAATGAGGCTCTTATTTGCGAAATCAATTATTAAAATTGTATAATTTGTCAACCGCAAGGGTTAACATCATTTGGCGAAGGTATGAGATCGTGGAACTCTTGTTTTAGCTACGTCACTGCATGCCACCACGCACTGTCAGTCGGACAAAGAAAAGTCTGTCTGTCATGTCTGTAGGCAGCACAATTATCTTGCTTTGTCATTCATAGGTTAATCGATCAAGAAACTGTACGTAATAACTAAATCCCGGTAATGTAACGACACACTTCCACCAACAACAACACGCAAGCCAGGCCACCTGGATACCGACTGGCCAATTTTGTAGTGTCTTGCTAGCATGCTCATAGGATCTGCTTTGTCTGAGTTACGAATATATCAAGGGACGTTCCTTCATATTTAATGAACCGTACATAATCAATCATGTAGGTAGGTAGGCAGGACATAATCAATTCTGACAGTTCTCAGGGCGTTGACGGAAGTTTTCGCCCTTCTTCCTTGAATAATGTCATTGTTCCTGTTGCTATTTTAAGATATCCTGTCGCTTGACATATAAAAAGGTGTGGAGAGAGAGCTTGGTCCCCACATTTCGGAGCTGTCGCCTGCTCTTTAAGCATATGTGAAGCACAGGCTTGTGACATGGCGAGCAAATATTCTCACAGTGTGAACGCAGCGCCCGAGGGAGACTTAGAGTCAACATCACCTCACCAAGTAAGTGACCTGCTGTTTTAGAATATAATGTAGGAGTAGGTTTAAACGTCTCTGTGTGTGTGTGTGTGTGTGTGTTTGTGTGTGTGTGTGTGTGTGTGTGGATATGTGAGTGAGTGTGTGTGTGTGTGTGTGTGTGTATGTGTGTGTGTGTGTGTATGTGTGAGTGTGTGTGTGTGTGTGTGTGTGTGCGTGTGAGTGAGTGTGTGTGTGGCTGTGTGTGTATGTGTATGTGTGAGTTTGTGTGTGTGTGAGTGAGTGTGCATGTGAGTGTGTGTGTGTGTGTGTATGCGCGCGTGTGTGTGTGTATGTGTGTGAGTATGTGTGTGTGTGTGTGTGTGAGTGTGTATGTGAGTGTGTGTATGTGTGTGTGTGTATGTGTGAGTGTGTGTGTGTGTGTGTATGTGTATGTGTGACTTTGTGTGTGTGAGTGAGTGTGTATGTGTGTTGTGTGTGTGTGTGTGTGTGTGTGTGTGTGTGTGTGTGTGTGTGTGTGTGTGTGTGTGTGTGTGTGTGTGTGTGGTGTGTCGCGCGTGTGTGTGTGTGTGTGTGTGTGTTTGTGTGTGTGTGTGTGTGTGTGTGTGCGTGTGTGTACTTTGCTGCTCTATTTAAAGCATACCGGTCCTCTGTTTATACTTAATAGAAATTTCTGTACAATACGTCAAGTATAGCCTTTATCATGGATCGTTTGAGTACTGACTATATAACCTTTTTTTTTTCAGACCATCAGACTTTCCACTGTGGAACCGCGATTGATAAAGAACCCGTCTACAGAGTACTATGGCTTCTTCATAGAGAAATCGCGAAATGGACGAGGCACAGGGAAGGTGATTCGGGTTAAGAATCTGCCGCAGCAAAAATTCATCAAAGGTAAGGGACAGTCACAACTTTGTAATGAACATCGCCCACCCCCCTCCCCAACTACTAATCTCGGGGTAGAACAAACCCCCCTCCCCAACTACTAATCTCCAAGCAGATGTTGGGGTACAACAAACATGATCTGTTCCCACATTTTCCACGGTACAAAAAAAGCGAGAAGAAGTTGACCACTCTGTATTAGTTCAGTGACTAGAACACTTTGTATTAGCCTAGTATTAATAGTACGCTGAACGAAAGGCTAAGGACCGTGATGCCTGGCGGGAAAAAATGTAAGAGGAGCAAGGGGCCAGTTCTGGCCTAAGCATTTGGCAGTAGGCAGTTAGGCAGTATTAATAGTACCCTTGTATGTTCCTTATGTATGTATGTCTAAGCAAGGACATTATACAGTATATAATGTCCTTGGTCTAAGTCAAGTAGTGCATCTCTTGTCTCCACTTTTATATATATGTTTGTTATGTGTCTGCTATATCTTGACCTGTACCTAGCCCGTCGTGGCATGAATGTACAATAAAGGTATTTCAATTCAATTCATAACTATGCACTTTTCCACTTTTCATCCATACAGCATAGATATGCTTACTTTACAGTTATCGAACAATGTCAGCTGCGAACAATATTGTTACAACGTTGAACTAATTTTGCTGTTGTAATTTACGTCTCCTTTCAGCGACTTTACTAGTCTACAGCTACACAGGTACACCGCCTGCCGATGGCACTTACGTTGTACCGCAGTTTATGCAGTCTGAAAAGTACTTGTATCGCAACGAAAATGGTGAACTTCGGCTGAAGGTGAGTTTGTTTGTTTGTTTATTTAAATACAACAGTGCATAACAAGTGGCAACCAGGCATCAACAAGGCTGGTAGCGGCTACCACTGACACATAAGTGCATAAATACAAGGCACATCAAAATACAATATTACTTAGTACGTACAAATTCAATTCAATATTATACAATAGCAATGTACATGAAAAGTACATACAAATTCAATCAATACAGAAGCAATACAATATAAGTACAATACAAATCGATAAAATGATCAAAGTTGAAATGGAACGGTTGGAGGATTTTTATTTTCAATTGGTGTTTGGGTAATAAGGATAAGAGGTGGTGTTTGCATTTGGCCTTGAATATGGAGAGTTTATATAGATATAGAGACATGAGAGAAAGGAACTGATACTCATAAGTAGGTTTTTAATTGCCTTGCAAGAAGGCATCAGCTAACAAGAGTTCAGAGATCTCATACCCCATGAAAATGGGCTTGACACGTAATTGTAAATTTCTTCTTTGATTATGCAAATGACCTCTACATTAACATAATAAATGCACGGTGATTTTGATTAACTTACACATGTCCCAAGTATGAAATTCCCATCATTTACCACTAAGGAGTCGTAGAATTTTCAGATTAATCATGAAAATTCTGTAGTTAAATTATTGGTATCTGGTGATATTCGTCCTGCCATAGATTATGAATATTTCATGTATCAAAGTCCCATGATGTAAAACAGTGGAATTAGAGGATTGTGCTGGCTACAAATGTGCGGAAACACAAGCACACAGACAGACACACACACACACAGAGGCAGATACGTACACAGACATGCCAAAAACAATACTTCCATATTTCATGCAGGTAACTAGAACAGGGCCACTAAAATGTTTGTCTCTATTCTGACAGAAAGATGACTTTCATCCGGAAAGTGCCACGGGCATCACGACAGCTGCCGACCCACGAGTGTTCCTGATCAAGTCGGGGAAACATTCGCGGGACTTCGTGATCAAATGGCAAGGCTCCGCCCGTCACACCATCACCCTGCTTCCACAAAACGCGAAACCCGTCGAACTCCAGCCCCTTGGAGGTAAGATTTTTTAAACGTCTCCTTCAT